AGCAGCAACAGCAGCAACAGCAGCAACAGCAGCAACAGCAGCAGCAGCCCAAACGCGAAGATATCAACGCGCTCGCGGCAAAACACGCCGACCAGCAGAAGCGCCTCCAGGACGAGCGCCAGCAGCTCGAGCGCCAGGAGGAGAACCTCCGCGAGCAGCAACGCGTCCTACGACAAAAGCAAGAGCACAACGAAGAGGAGCAGCGGAGGCTCCAGAAGATGCAGGACCAGCAGGAGAGGCGCACCGCCCATGTCGTCGACACTCACCACAAGAAGAACGCCCTCACCAGTCCCGCCACCTCTCCGCTCCCGCACCCTACTACCCCCTCGCCAGCCGAATCCCTGGGGGGCCCTGCTCGCACCCCGCTTGCCATCGTCGATGCGCATCGCCGCGAACCCACTACCGTCCCGCTGCAAAGGCTGGAGGATACCTCCCGCGGCCTGCCCTCCATTTCGCGCGGTCCGCTTCCTTCGCTTGCTCCCGTACTTCCCCCGTTGAACGCCGCGGGAGCGGGCCCAACCCAGGGCGAGACTGCCGCCCAGCTGAAAAGCAACCCTCCAACTTCATTGCCGCAGCCCAAACCTGGACAAGGGCAGGGGCAGGGGCAAGGACAAGGACAGACGACGTTGGCGTCACCCGCGTCACTCGGACTATCGAGTGGATCCATTTTACCATCACCCACGGCGTCACTAGGCATGACTCGCTCACCCAACTGTTTCTCGCATCGTTTTTTGTTCCCGGGCCATTCTACATCACCGACATGGGCAACCACTCCAACACCACCGGTATCCATGACGCTGGCATCGCCAAAACCAGGTGGCACGCCCACCGGGCTCATGGACGTGCAAATGGCAAGCCTGCACTCGGAACACCACGTGGGCGACATGTCGCCGGTCCCAAGCGAGGTGGCCATCTCACCAGGGATTCATTCCCCCATGCCACCGCCCATGCTGCCGCAGGTGTCGACCACGAGCCGTCCGCGACGACCTCTGAATCATCCAAAACCGCCTCTGGGCGGCCCGAGCCTGTCTTCGGGCCCGTCGGCGCTACTGCCGCCGCTGACAAGCGTGGCCCCGGCCAACCCGCCCACCCACATCGACCTGCGCGGCGTCATGGACGACGAGGGGCCCAACTGCAGCCTCCCCGCGCTCGGAAGCCCGCACACGGACATGAGCCCGCTGCCCGTGGCCAGCCCGATTTTTGGCGGCGGGCACACGCCACTGTCGCCCATGCAACCTTTTTCGCCGTTTTCGGGCATGTACGCGTCATCGGCTAAGGGCAAGCAGACGCCGATGTGGTGAGCACGGCGGCGGCGCGCGGGGAAGGCGGGGTGGGGGTTAGGGGGGAGGGAGGGGAGCGTGGGCGTGGGCAGATTGGCCTTTTTTGTACAGAGCGTTAGCGTTAGTTGTTAAAAAGAGCTTCGGCACCGGCGTTTCGACTTCCATCTCTGTCGATCTCTATCGATCTCTATCGTCTTGCGATGCATCGCCACGTGTGCCCCTGTTCCTCTGTAAGCCTCCAATTCCGATCGCCCGCTGCCACACTGACCGCCCCGTTCCCCCCTCCCCCCCCCTACTACGGGTACGCCGACTCGCAAGACAACGAGAAAAACACATACGTG